TCTCATTTTTGATACTTTTTATCTCATTTTGATACTTTTTATCACCTCTTATCTCCTTTGCTCTAGATTCAACCCTTTCATCCTATGCCAAAAGGGGCGTGGGAAAGGGGCGGGGAGGGGCGGGAAGGGGCGGGTCACCTGTCAATCAATCATCTTTTTGACATAAAGTGAATCCTATTACTACTAGGGACTATGTACAAAATACATTATTCTTACGAAATCTGAAATCTTACATTTCAGAAAAAAATCAAGCAAAACAATGCACGTGTACTCACTCAGTGTCGAGCCATGATCGCTTTCATCAGGTTCCTCAAGGCTGGGTGGCAGCTGGCTTGTGGCGGGCTCCACATCACCACGGCTGCAAGGCGGAAGTGTCTGCAAGAGGGGTCACCTCCAGACCTGACTGAAGAAATCAGTTTTCTGGTTGACTCGGTCAAACGACCTGCACCCCTGGATTGTGTCCTCCTTTTTAAATGCCGGTATTTTTGTGTCACATTGCGCAGGGCATCGGTCAGCTGGTCGTTTATTTTGTTCAGGTTGCTGATCTCCTTTTTTAGGTTTTCGATTTTAACCTTACAGCCAGGGTTGCCGCAATCTTCCTCCATCTCCTCTTCAAAAACCACATCGGCTTCCCCCAAGTCTGGTTCCAAATCCAGGGTACTCACGATCGGCGGCTCCGGGTTAGTCGCCCTGAGCGATGCCAGCTGCCCAATAACTTTCTTCCTCTTGCAGCTCCAGATTGCGGCTTCTTTTTCTGCACTGGACAGCTCACTAGGGTTGGGAACCGAGAACCGGTTCTTTTCCAGAACCGGTTGTGTTTTTGAAAAAATACCGGAACCGTGCAAAATTCCTAAGTTTCGGTTCCGAAAACGGTTCTGATGCCAATGCGATATCATCATGTGGGCGAAGTGCTGGGAGTAGAAGACGCCGTCTTATTCCTAAATGACAAAAACTTCACCACTGAAGTTGCGATTTGCTCTCACACGCGCTGCATTTGTCACAAACAGACACACGCACGCTGCGCGCGCCGACCGCCGAGTCACTCTCTAGCCTACATTCAAATCTGTTTGCGCTGAGAGAGAGAGAGCAGTTGTCGATATGAAACTGCTTTACAATCACACAGTCTCAATATTTATTTGTTTCACATATTCAAATGATTTCCGTTACAGAATTAGTGAGATTATAGTTTGAGTAAACATTGACGGTAGTGGTCAAAACAGATGCAGTCCGTATATTTTTTGTGTTCAGAATTTACAAAATATATACAATGAGCGAGTGCATCATAATGTTTTTTTTTCAAACCGTGTTTTTGTCTTATCTTGAATCACTACGTAAAGCCTGTAATAAGCGTTAATACTCGGACTTCTTGTTTAGACTGGCCGGCGGATCGCAGCTGCTGCGGAGTAGCCCAATGCCTGCGTGACTCGTCATGGACATAAACAGAGAGAAGTAGCTCCGGCAACAATGTTCTTCCGCAAGACGCATGCAGTTCTGTTTATTAACTGCTAGAGCGCCGATTTATCCAGTAATGAAATAAGTAAAGTCTTTATGAATCAATCATTCAAACCGTTTTTAAAAATAATCTGTTCTACACACATATGTGTGTTAAAGCATATACTATTTCTTCTGAGAGGGTATTCTTCACTGTTGGAGATACAATAAAGGAGAGGTCTAAATTATTATAGAGAATGCAGAATTTTTTAATTTCCTTTATATATATATATTTTTTTTTTTTTGCAAAGATTGCTTAATAATATTTTGAGTTTGTTTACATTACCAGTCTGTTAAACTAATTTGTCATGTACTATAAGAAATAAACACAAAAAGGATTGTGGATTTTTCTCTTACTAATATTTTTAATTGAATGGGAACCGGAACCGGAACCGGAATCGTTTGGCGGAACCGGAATCGGAACCGGAACCGGAAAATTTCTCACGATTCCCAACCCTACAGCTCACTGTGTAATTTTAAGTGCCGGTCAAACCTGGTTGTTGCCTTGCCACAGCCAGCAACTGGGCAAATGCAACTCTGAATGTTGACTCTGCCGAATTCCAGTGACAGGAGAAGCTTTCTCTCCTCCTTGTTGTTAATTTTGTGAAAAACGACCAGATGCTGGCTCATCCGAGCATACATTCGGCAACACAGTGGGCAAGATGACACAGGCATTTTTAAATGGGTCAAAAAAACTTGAAGAGACTTGGAGAAATGGATGCAAAATCTTGCAGAACAAAATCCCAATGTCATCTGCTTCAGAGCTCAGTAGTGAGTGCATGAAGGAGGTGCTTGCAAAGCCATATCAATTGGAATGTAACTTGAAACCACTATACAGTTACCTCAAAATTACATTCACGCCCCTAGTGTATTTTTAAGTAAGATGCTGTTTAATTGCAGTGACTTTCCAAGCATTGCATAGTGACTTACTTGAAATTTACCTTTATTTCTCTAATACATTTAAGGTTAAGGTTACTTTATTGTCCCCGGAGGGCAATTATTTGTACAGCCAGCAGAAAAACACAAGGCACAACACGCAACATTACCACAAGGCATAAAACACACAGTCCCCAAAAATACATAGAAAAAAATAAATAAATTAAATAGAAGTACATTAAAACAGTTCTGGTAGTTTATTTAATATTGAGATTGAAGTCGGGATAAAGGAGTTTCTATATCTATTTGACCTGCTTTTGGGCATGGAATACCTACGACCTGAGGGGAGTAGCTTAAACTGGCAGGACAAAGGATGGCTGGGGTCAGCTGCAATAGCTAGAGCCTTCTTGGCTACTCTGTTGGAGTGGATGTGGGAGAGAGGGGAGGAAAGTTAATACCTGCAATCTTGCCACATGTTCTGACAATGCTCTCTAGTCGGTTTTTGTTCCTTGCAGACAAGGAACCAAACCAACAGATAAAACAAAAAGTTAAAACAGACTCAAGAAAACAGGAATAAAACATTTTCATCAAGGTGCGGTCAATGTTAAAATTCCTCAATCTACGAAGAAAATACATTCGTTGCTGGGCTTTAGCACAAACAGCATCAATGTGAGAATCAAAACATAGCTTACTGTCAATTGTTGTACCAAGGTACCTGTATTCCTGTACCACCTCGATGGGCTGGCCATCAATGATAGTAAGGGGGAGACATGGCCTCTGTTTCCTAAAATCTATAATTAGTTCTTTTGTTTTGGACACATTTATATTTAAAAAGGAACACTTACACCACTCATTAAAATCCTTCAATATTGCTCCATGATCAATCACATTTTCATTTAAAAGAGACACAATGACAGAATCATCTGCAAATTTTAAAATCTGTCTATCATCATAGTGCGACCGGCATTCGTTTGTGTATAACACAAAAAGAAGAGGAGAGAGGACATCCTTGGGGGGAGCCAGTAGAAGATAAAAGTTTATCAGATAAGACACCATTAACCTTAACTTTTTGAGATCTTAAAGTTAAAAAGTCAACTAACCAGGCTGTTGGACCTGGGTTAATGTTGTAGTTCTTTAAAAGTCTATCTGCTAAAATGTGCGGTTGAATGCAGTTAAAAGCTGATGAAAACTCAATAAATAATGCATCCTCAACTCCTCTACCTGCTTTATAGGCAAATTGTAAGGGATCAAGTTGAGACTTTGTCATTGCTATAATCTCCTGTTTAATAATTTTCTCAAAGGATTTCATAATAAGAGAGGTAAGAGCCACTGGCCTAAAATCGTTGAGTGATTTGGGAACATTTATCTTTGGCACCGGCACAATCACTGACTCTTTCCATAGGTGAGGGACCCGATGTAACTGAAGTGACTTATTAAATATAAAGGCAAGTATGTCCGACAGTGGCTCTGCACAGCTTTTAATAAGGCGGCCACCAATATTGTCTGGGCCAGGGCTCTTTCTTTCCTTCACCCCCCTAAGAATTTTTTTAACTCTATCCTTATCTATTTTTATAGCCACATTTTGTTCTGCCCATGGTTCCTTGAACACGGATAATTCTTTAGTAAAATCATAAATCATAATTTTCAAGTAAGACACAGAGCAGTGATTTTTACATGCTGTAGATAGAGACTAACTTGAAATTTACCTTTATTTCTCTAATACATTTTCAAGTAAGACACAGAGCAGTGATTTTTACATGCTGTAGATAGAGACTAACTTGAAATTTACCTTTATTTCTCTAATACATTTTCAAGTAAGACACAGAGCAGTGATTTTTACATGCTGTAGATAGTGACTAAATTTAAATGATACATTCTGGAAATAAAATATCATCAAGATAAATTATGAATTCAACATGTATATGTACAGTTACATTTTTTCCTCTTTGCTAAAAAAAAAAAATGTTCGCTCATCTTAAAGTGGTCACAGCTGGGTTCGAAACCCATGTTCACACGAGCAATGGACTCCAGAAAAAAGTATTCCACACTAACCACTACCCCACAGAACACGTTAGCTCCAGACAACCAGGGTGCACTTTGGCTGGAGAGCGCCTCCAGGAGCAATCTAAGCCCAGCCAGGTTGCACTCTGGCTGGGCATTAATCCTGGAGGGAGATGACCTCCAGGAGCATTCCAAAACCTAAGTTCCTAAAGTTGCTTTGTTTGCATGATGTGGTCCCGGCTGGATTAGAACCCATGTTCACACGAGCAAAGGGCCCAAACAAAAAAAGAAGTCCACACTAACCACTACCCCACAGAACATGTTAGCTCCAGAGAACCAGGGTGCACTTTGGCTGGGCATAAATACTGGAGGGACAGGGCCTCCAGGAGCATTCCAAAACCTAAGTTCCTCCAAGGGAATCTGAAAATGTCTAAGTCAGAAAGAGTATCCATCCTGTAACCTATTTGACAGAGCTCCTATAGGCGGTCTGTGGACAGTCGAATATTATGTCAAATTTTGCATAATTAATGGCTGTACTGTACACCAGTATGTTGTATTGTGATCCCTGTGTGGCATACAACTGGTTAAACCACATACAAGCACTGTATTAATTGAAATTGCTGTTGGGGGGAGGGGGAGGAGGAGGAGGAGTATTACCTCCTGGAGGATGGGTGCTCAGTGTCCTGCAAAATAACACAATACAACATCTGTCCAACTGCACATCATACGATAATCTCTGTCTAAAACAGATGCACTGTTTAATGACAAGTGTACTCACAGTGCGGCTTATCATCTCAGTGGTTGCCTTGGGGAAGAAAAAAACATTTAAAAAAAAATAGATGAAATGTGAATTATTACCACAAGCTTTAATTTGTTATAAACCAAGTTAATAAAGATTAAGATTTTGCCAAACAACAAAACATTTTCTATCAATTCTTATTTCTACACTTACCTCTTCACTCACTCCTGATGTGATAACACCGCTGTCGCTCATCATTTTGCTATTATTTCACACAAATGACACATTTATTATTTTTATTTGAAAGAAGAAGATCATCAAGCCTGTAGTTTGTTGATCAGTTACCAAAGAATTCAAAATAATAATCAAAATCTTTACCAACAATATAAATCTTTAGAGTCACTTTTGAATCCATTTAACCAAATATATCCTGTATTTTTGACCAAATGAATGCAGGCCTGATGATCATAATAGACTTATTTCCAGAACATTAATAATAGTAAGGGTCAGTAAAACAAAATAAAACCATTTACTCACCCACGATGTAAATGAATAAATAATAAATGTATAATTTAAAGTAAGTCACTATCTAATGCTGTATAATTTAAATTAAGTCACTATTTAATGCTGTATAATTTAAAGTAAGTCACTATATAATTTATGTACAATCACTTCCTTAAACAGTGTCTTACTTCAAAACATACTAGAGACCAGCATGTACAATTTAAAGTAAGTCACTATATAAATTTTAGGGGGGAAAAGGTTTTTATCCATAAAATCAGTTTGACCCCATAAAAATATAAACATGTATGTTGCATCTACTTGCAATCTATACATCTCTATCTTTATACATATACATTTTAGGGAAAAAAAGTTTTTTTTTTTCCCAAAAAATCAGTTTGACCCCATAATGTGGTCTGAGCTAGTGTGAAATCCCCAAATCTGAACAGGATCTGACCCGCTGAAAATGTCTAAGTCAGTCAACAGCATCCATCCTGTAACCTATTTGACAGAGCTCCTATAGGCGGTCTGTGGACAGTCCATTTTTAGGCTAATAATACACAATTAATGGCTGTACCGTACATCAGTGTGTTGCACCGTGTCCCCTGTGTGGCATACAACAGGTCTGACGACAAACAACCACTCCACTGTATTTATGAAATATGACCTTTTAATGTACTGTCCACGAACAGCCTAGAAGGACCCTGTCAAATAAGTTACAAGTGGGACTTGACCGACTGGATCCAATCTGTAACTTATTCGACAGAGCTCCTACATGCTGTCTGTGGACAGTTGAATATTATGCAAATTGTGCATAATTAAGGGCTGTACTGTACATCAGTGTGTCACATGGTGTCCCCTGTGTGGCATACAACATGTCTGACCAAAAACAAGCACTGTATATAAGAAATATGAGCCATTAATCAACGTCCAGGAGGAAGCCTATAGGGTGTCTGTTGAATAGGTTGCAGGTGGGCACCGAACTTTGAACGGCTATAACTCGGGGACCCAGCGGCCTAGCCACACCAAACTCGGGTCAAATTGAGGTCCCGAGGGGCCAGTGATGTTTTCGTCAGTGATGACGATAACGAAATGATTTCGTTAACGCACCGTTTTTTATGACGATAACGCGACGATGACTAGCTAAAAATAGCTTTGAGGTGACTAAAACATGACGAGACGTTTTTGAGTTTTCGTTGACGAGACGAGACGCAACGAAAATGATTATAAGTCTGACGTTCACAATGCATGTAATTTATGTCTATTTTGCGTGAAATCGGTCTGTATGGAGCTAAAAATAAGTATCAGCAATGCTGCCGTTTCCTATCGCGTGCGCCCAGATTCCACACAACAACAACAACAACACAGGGTTTAATGGTAGTTTTTGTACCAAGTCAAGTCAATAGAGTCGGACAAAAACTGGGATAAAACCTGTTGGAAAGCATATTTTGCAGCGATGTTTGTGTGAGCATATCAGTGAACATCCCTGACCACTCGGTGAGTTTGACGTCAACGTATACAAGTAAAAAATAAAATGATTTAAATAGATAATTTTAAAAAAATTACAAAAAAAGATACTGCTAAAAAAAAATATATATATATAAACATAAAACCACCATTGTAACTGGCCTATTCATCAAGCCATTCAAGGCGAAGGCCCTCTCCCCGGTAAGATCTTCTCTTAACACCATAATCAAATTTGAGCTGGGTGCCTACACTGATGTCATTTAATGCTTTAAATAATATGACATCCTTGTCCTCCCCATTTATTTTCATCTTACAATGAAACGGCTTGATGTTGGGCATCTTAGATGAATGATTAATACTTCGTCCAAAAGTGTTCATATGAGGGTGGCACCCACAGGGGAAGGTCTGTGCATCAATGCTGAGATCATTTTGTCCATCTTAAAAAAAAAAGACATATCCAGGCTCGTCAAGCTGGCTCTGCACAATGGCCCTCCCCTCTTCAGCTGTGACTACCTTCCCATGGTAATCACAGACTATGTCATCCTTGCAGAATGGTCGGGTTGCGACGACTCCTATGCAACGAGAACATAACATTTTTGAGTTAATGAACAAGTATTACATGTAGTTTATGGCTGCTGAAATGTACATTTTACATTATTGTTCCTCTGCCCTTAGAAGACAAATGAAAGGTTGTCTTACCTAGACCTTGCTCTGCACCAAAGTTTTTTATGACAAGGCCTGTCCAGGTTTGCTCGGTGACACAGCGAATGATAAATTCGTCCTCTTCCACCTTTTTCTTTGGGGCTGGTCTCCACTGCCGCTCAATGTTGTCCGGCCTTGGGCAGTTCATCGTCCAGCCCTCCCGTGCAATTAACCTCGCCACCTCTGCTGCAGTCGGCTTGCGGAGTGTGAAGTAAGCTGAAAGACAGAATGAAATAACTTTACTCATGTGATTCACTTATCACTGTAAATAAATGACCTAGTTTGTTTAGAGTCAATGTGTGTAAATGCTTTTTTGATGGATTCGGAGACTTACACAGCAGATATTTCTCTCTCTGTGCGTACTGATTGGCCCTCCACTTATCACTGAAGGCATGGTCTTCTGGAAAGCCGGATTCCATCCTTAGCTTTTTAGATGGCGGCAGACCATCCAGCGAAACCGGAAATCTTTCCAAGAATGAGACAAAGTCTCTCCGAGATCCTCCAGCAGCTTCACTCGTAGCCAATGATGTCTCAGACTCGCTGTTTAAGTGAGAAATACAAGGTTTATAACATGAAAAAAAATGAATGAAAACTTGATAATCTGCAGTGCAAATAGTTTGTGATGAGTTATGTCCTGGTTGGTTGAAGAGACATACCTTGCCAATGATTCCAGCAGCTGAGCTGCATCCATGACATCCTGAGGATTGACAAAACCAGAGCTGGGGGCCATGTAATTGAGAAGTGCCCCCTTTTGTTGCGCTGGGAGGTTCTTGGCAGCCGCCTCAACTGCCCTCCGCACACACTGGCTGGTGAAAGGGGCCATCTCATACCTGCAGAAAGACAATGAAAAATGAAATATTAATTGTGGTGTGATACTGACAAAATGTGGATCCATTTACACACATGCACATGAATCTGTGTAGGTACTCACAATTCATGGAGACGGCTAATGTCGCGTGAGACGCACTGGACTGCCTCGCCGTCCGATGAAACGAAAAAACTTTCGCAGTATTTTTGAGGCTGTAGGTTCTCAGGCCTGATCTTACAAAAGTACAGCTCCAAGAACTACAAAAACAAAAAAACAAGTTAATAAATGTAAAACACTGGTGGTAAGAAATCTACTGTTTGCATCATGTGAAAACTCACAGCTTGCTCCTCTTTAGTGATAGCGATCTGCATTTTTGAGGCTTTATCCCCCTGTAGGGCAACCACAATCCTTTCACCCAGCACGGTTCTGTTGACCCATTCTTCGCCCTGGAAAATATTGAAAATGTTAGACTTACTAATGCATACTTGTGCAAATAATACAGTATATCACAAGTATAAACTCATTAAAATAGATGAACTTACCATTAAGGCTTCCACAGCTCGTGGACACTGCGCGTGTCTGAAGACCAATATCGCTTCACAGTAATAGCTTGGTTTGGGAGGTGATGGAAACTACAGTCGTTGGCAGGATCAGAGACGGGCTCTGGCAGGGTCACTCTAATTTTGTTTTCAGCCTATGTTCAAAACAATCACGTTTGTCCGTGAATTACTGAATTAGCCACTGAATTAGTTTAGTCCGGTTATACATACAGCCGCGAACAGCACATGTTGTCCCTGAGCTCCGTAACGACATCTCTCATAAAGATTTGCGTCTTTAAATAGTAAAATAATTATCCGAAAAACAGCTAGCCTCTTCGCTAACTAACACACAAAACACCATTGGAAAGCTACTTCTGCCGCCTCACCGGAAGTTTCACCCACTTTATTTTTTACAGGAGCGCCCCTCGGAAACTTGTGGATAAACAACACAGACCACAATCTCAGTGTTCATGTTGCACATTTCTTATTCTCTGTCAGTACTGTTAGGGGTTAACAGTTAAAGGACCCAGAACCAGATATGAAGAATGAAGACCCGGAGTCGGAATTATAAAAATTAAAGAAAGTTTTACTGAACATAGTTTGCCATTTCATCAGCAGAAGTCAGCTGACTCACTCAGGAGTTTGTAGGCCGCCCCCTTACAGTTACAAAGATCACAGCAGTTATACTGTTTCCAAGGTCTAAGCTACATCATTGCTTACACGTTGAATGATTCTCATTGGCTACGATATAGATAAACACAGTAATTTTCCACACATATACAGATAGACGAAACATATCTCCATCGATGAGGCACGTCATGACCTTCCAGGTCACAGATTTGGGTTGCTGGCGCCAGTGTGTCCAGAACAACAACTCATTCAATCTCCAATAATGGCAGTGGTTCCTTAACCTGCAACCAAGAAGACTAGCACTAAACTTTAGTCTAACTGGAGTAAGACTTCAACAAAGAAATAGTGCCTTAAACTGTTGGATTCAATGACCCCTTTATGTTTTAACACTCAAACATAAACCAAAATCCCTATTTCCCTATTATTTTCACTGTTACTGCATTCACATAGGACACTAGCAAATAAGAGCTCCTATCAAGGCTGAAGAGAGTCTGAGCGTCTTATTATCAGTTAAGTGTACCAAAACATAATGGTAAAACATTCACTCGTTTGGGAGAAAAACAGATAACATTTGCTTCTCAGAAAGCAAATATAATAGAAAGAATACAGTTTAATATAACAATTAAAGTTCAATAAAGCAATGCTCAATATAGCTTGACCATCGGTACAGAGAAGTATCATATGTGTTGGACAAATGTGTTCACGACGCCTTTAGGATCCATAAACCTTTCTCCTGAGACCAGAGAAAGAGACAAATGGCCTTGTGCACCTAAAAGAAGCTGGTGACTTACATCAGCATGCATTTAAGAATATTATTTCACAAGCAAAAGCACAAAGAATAAATGTATATGTCGATAAATGATTAAGTAACAATGAATATACTTAATTATTGATTTTATAAAAGAAATACATAATCATTTAAAATGATATTATGATATATATACTGAAGAGGCAAGGGATTTTGACCACCCCTTCAGTACAATGAGTTAAATGGGTGAAAAAAACGTCCTCAATATTTTGGGGATGGCCTGCTTGGCCTGGCTCAGACATTTCAATAGGGAGGCTTTGCTAAGCACCTTTTGTTCTTTAACAGTCTTTACCGCAGTCCGGTTCATGGCAACCTTTCTCTTCAGTGACTTTCTGATGCTCATCATCTCCCGGCGCAGACCAATCAGCACTGTCTTTGACAGTCGACAGGAAGGGGGAGGAGTTTCACATACGTAATTCAAGAACTGAGACACGTTCTGCACATAATACTCAATTGTTGTTTCCTTTTTGTGGGCCTTGCACAGGGAGGCGACCCACCTGCACACAAACAAACAACAAACGCCCTCTATGAACACTCATCTTTATTATTATTATTATTATATATTTTTTTAAAAACATGAAAAAATCATTAAAAACAAAATGACTTACGCATGAATCCTGCTCGTCTCGTTCAGGAAGATCAGGGTGCTCAGTCTCGTCTTACCCTCACTCATGTGTGTTAAGAATTGATTCATTCTATACATTTTGGCATTTACATCGTCAGTATGTTTAGATGATGGGTCTGGCCCTAATTGGTTGAGCCGAAACTCTTCCGTGATGTTATCTGTGCACAAAGAAAAATGACTTACTTTACATTATACATTCTGATATCTAGTATATTTTCAAGTAAGACACAGAGCAGTGATAAATATTAAATAGTGACTTACTTTAAATTATAGATTCTAATGCCGGGGTTGTACTGCACTGCAAAAAAAGCTTTTCTTATAAGTTTTTGCTTAAACAATCAAAATCATCTGCTAATGGAACAAGAAAAATAATTTTAATTCAAACAAAAACAATATTATTTTTTTATTATTTCCAATTCGCTTAGTTTTGATTTATTTCCCATCTTCATTTAATACTTTTTTTTTTTTTTTAGATATTTGGACTGGAAACAAGACCCAAATACTAAGTAAAAAAAAGCTTTTTCTGCAGTGTGGCAATGACATTTCAGAAAACACCCAGTTAAAACAATGCAAGTGCACTCACTCAGTGTCACCCCATGATCTGGGGGGCTCTCCGGCTCCTGAAAGCTGGGTGGCTGCTGGCTGGTGGAGGGCTCTACATCACTGGATGGCCTGGGCACGGTGGGTAGAAGGGTCACCTCCAGACCCGAGAGAGGAGATGAGCCTCCTGGTTGCCTTGCTCAATCTTCCCGCACCCTTGGATGCTGACCTCTTCTTCAACAGACGGTACCGCCGGGTAATGTCGCGCAGGGCAGTGGTCAGCGTGTCAACACTTTGATTTAGGTTGCTGTTCTCAAGCCGCAACTTTTCCACCCTCTCTTTGCAGTCAGGGTTGCTGCACTCTTCCACGTCCTCGTTTAAGGGCACATCAGGATCCTCAATTTCTGGAAGCAAGTCCAGGGTGCTTACCAAGGGAACCGCTGGGTTAGTGTCCCTAAGTGCTGCAATCTGTGAGATAATCTTCTTCCTCATAACAGTCTGGAGTGTGTTGTCCCTTTCAGCACGGGACAGCTCCACGTGGGATTTAATGCCCAGTCAAAGATGAGACTTTGACCGGGTGTATCTCGGAAACCACGCCCACTTGGAGCTCCAAACTCCGGGCATTGGTAGGGACACATGGGCCCCCCATGACCCCAGAGTATGGAGCCAAAAGTCGGCTTGGTTCTCGAGATACACCCAGAATCAGCATCCAACTTGTAGCTTAATAAGTTACTGACTGGACTTCACCACATAGTGTGAAATCCCCAAATGTTTACAGGATCTGACCCGCTGAAAATGTCTAAGTAAGAAACAGCATCCATCCTGTAACCTATTTGACGGGTCCCCTATAGGTTTCCCCCTGGACGTTCGAATATTATGCAAATTGTGCCTAATTAATGTCTGTAATGTACATGAGTGTGTGGAGCTGTGTCCCCTGTGTGGTGTACAGTAGGTTTCACCTCATAAAAGCACTGTAGTTATGAAATATGACCCATTAATGTACAGTCCGGAAAGGAAGCCTATAGGAGCTCTGTGGAATAAGTTGCAGGTTGGCTCCAAAGTTTGAACGGCTATAATTTGGGGACCCGGCCGCCTAGCCACACCAAACTCGGGTCAAAGTAGGGTCCAGAGGGGCCCTCTCCAACGCGCCCTAGCCCGTGCTTCTAGCGCCCCCACAGGCCGAGATACAGGGCCCAACAGGAAAGGGTGCACTTCAGAAGGAAGGGTCCCAGAGCCTCGGGACACTGGGGTCTGAGAGGGCCACTAGAGCACCCTCATCACCCCGAAGCACGATCCGCTGGGAGGAGGAAGTGGAGGAGGAATATTACCTCCTGGAGGATGGGTGCTCAGTGTCCTGCAAAATAACACAATACAACATCTGTCCAACTGCACATCATACGATAATCTCTGTCTAAAACAGATGCACTGTTTAATGACAAGTGTACTCACAGTGCGGCTTATCATCTCAGTGGTTGCCTTGGGGAAGAAAAAAAACATTGAAAAAAATAAATGAAATGTGAAATATTACCACAAGCTTTAATTTGTTATAAACCAAGTTAATAAAGATTAAGATTTTGCCAAACAACAAAGCATTTTCTATCAATACTTATTTCTACACTTACCTCTTCACTCACTCCTGATGTGACAACACCGCTGTCGCTCATCATTTTGCTATTATTACTATTATTTCACACAAATGCCGCATTTATTATTTTTATTTGAAATAAGATCATCAAGCCTGTAGTTTCTTGATCAGTTACCAAAGAATTTAAAATATTAATCAAAATCTTTACCAACAATATAAATCTTTACAGTCACTTTTGAATCCATTTAACCAAATATGTCCTGTATTTTTGACCAAATGAATGCAGGCCTGATGAGCATAATAATCTACTGACGTTTAAGGGGGCCCTATAAGGCGGATATTGACGTATGGTCAAAAGACGTCCCAAGACGTCAGTTATATGACTTTTTGGGATGAGACTGTGTTAAGGAAAGACAGGCAGAGCTCTAAAAGCAAAGGATTCTCACAGATTGTGGGTCCGCAACAGCAGAATCTGGGACTACAATCAGCTCTGTCTGCTCTTGCCTGACTCACGCTCTCGAGTTTCCATGTTGAAGGAGCTTCTACGGCGTGGTTTTTGTAACCAACCAGCCCAAGGAGTTTGAAATGGACAGAGACAGAGAAGCTGGCAGTGCCTGCTCTTCCAAGGTAAGTTCAGTCATTACATGCTTATTACATGATAATAAATAATATATTTTATTGTTCTTAAACCATTCCATTGCAAGATTAAAATTAATGGGGAAGACAAGGATATAATCTTATTTGAAGCACTGAAGGACATCACTGTTGGCACACAGCTCAAATTAGACTAAAGAGAGGCTCTTACCGTGGAGAGGGCCTGAGTCTAGAATGGCTCGACGAATAATCCAGTTCCATAAAAACACAAAATTTTTTAATTACTTATTTAATAGTTCTGTTCTTTATATGTTTATTTTTTTATTTTATTTTTATTGTATATAGTTTTTTATATTTCTATTTTCTTCTAATTCTTAATAAAATTTGTTGTCTTGAAAAAAGTTGTCAAGTTTAATTATTACTGTTCATGGACAGCACACTTATGGGTCATTTTTTTTAGAATTACATTGACTTTATGAGGTGACACATGCTTTACCCAACACACAATTTACATTTCAGCTATTAATTATGCAAAATGAATAGGTTACAGCTGGGATGCTGTTTTTGACTTAGAAATTGTATTTAAAATTTCAAAATTATAAGCACACCCCATCATAATTCATAATCACTATCACAATTGCATAATTCCTATAATGTACATAATTAGGTTTGCAGCATATACACCAAATTCTAAACAGCATCCCATCAGAAATGGGATTCATGGAAGTGGGAATGGGAGTTGTTAAATACATACTTTTTCTCCATCTATGTTGCAAGCACAGAGAACATCTCTAATGATTGAATAGACATCTTGAAGTCCACATGCAACATATTAGACAGGGACAGATGTGCTGTACATGTACAGCTTATGGCCCAGTCCAATACTTTGTGTCCCACCTGTAGCTCATCTGAAATTTTCAGATGTTGAATTACAATAGGCTAACGCTTTGGGAATTTAATCAAAGTTTATGAAGTCCAAAGAGGAACTTGTTTTACAGGACTGTAAAATATTAATGTTCAAGTAAGATTGCAAGTTGGTTTACTCTTGGAGCAATTCAAAAAATAATCCTCCACTTGGTGATCCTGGGAAGATGGCACTTGGTCTGCCTGGTTCAGACTCACAACAATATCAATCCCAGCAAATACTGTGAAAACCCTATCTCGGTGAAAACTCAACTGATCCTAACGACATAGGCCTCGTTGAAATCGTCTATTAGCACTGAAAATAACAATATAATTTTCATAATTTTTGGCAGAGGATTGGCTGAGATATCTGTCGAAAACCAACATGCGCGTTACATATGTTTTTTTTTTTTTTTTTTTTTTTTTTTTTTTTTTTTTTTTGTGAGATGTCGATCGCCTCCGTGAGTCTTTTTTTTTTTTTTTTTTTTATTGAATATGTATCAAATAACAAGCAAGTACAGAGCACAAAAACACATAGAATTCCGACATGTTATATCAAGTATATAAAACTTCACACATGGAAAGAAAAGAAAAAAAAATAAAGGAAATAAAGAAATAAAAATAAATAAATAAATAAAAAATAGTAAAATAAAAGACATACACAGAGGAAACCTTATGCATCAGTGAAAATATCATCATAATATTTCAAGAATCTGTCACTTTTCTTGTTTTTAATCAATCTTAGAGACTTCAGAAATGTATCAATTTCAATTAAGAAAAGTGGAAAAGTAGGCTGCGATTTAGAGAATTTTTGCTTGTGAATAAAATTTTTCCCAAACAAAATAAAAAAATTAACAATGTAACTAATTGAAGTACTAGCTTTATCTTCTTTATAGTAACAAATTATATCTTTTAATTGAAAGGATTTGGAAGAATCAAGGTGCTTGCCTATGTGAAGATATAACCTATTCCAGAAGTTTTGGGTTTTTTCACATTGGAAAAATAAATGGATCAGCGTTTCATCTTCATTCCCACAAAATGAGCAAGAACTGTCAACATCCATATATTTTGCAACAGTGTCATTCACTGGGTATATTTTATGCAAGATCTTGAAATGAACTTCCTTAATCTTATTTGAAATACAATACTTATGGGGTAACAACCAGGCTTCCTTCCAGTCTATACATTCAATAAAAGAAGCCCAATAAAATTTGCCTTTAGCAACAGTATATTTTTTACTCTGAAAAATATGTCGAATATGTTTATTATTACATTTCTTACTAAGTATATTTATACCATCTAAGATCAAGTCAGGTTCTTTGGTGGTGACACTCTTACTAAAGGTTAGATGACATTTAACAAGATGACTTGGACCAGAAGAAATTGCTTTAAGCACTGCATTATATTCTTTAAATGGTAAAGGAAAATTATGAACAGACATAAATTCTTCATAAGATAAGAAATTACCAGATTTATCAAAAATTGAGAGAATACCAATTATATTTCTGTTAAACCATGTAGAGAGAAAAATAGATTTATTCCTAATCCTTATATTAGAGTTGTTCCATAGAAAGGTTTTATGAGGTGAAAAATTGTGGGTGTAGCATAACTTCCAAGCAAGAAGGGCCTGCTGATGAAATTTAGAAAGTGCAACTGGCAATCTGATCGGTAAGTAGTTACATTTCAGTATAAAGGGGAGTCCACCAATTTTGTTAAAGATATGATTCGGGATAAAAAACCATATAGAATTAGGATTTGTTAAGCATTTTTTGATCCAATTTATCCTAAAGGTGTTCACTGTATCACTAAAATCTAACACTTCAAGTCCACCTTTTTTCCGACAATTTGAAAGGACTGTTTTTTTGAGCTTGTGAGGTTTGTTTTTCCATATGAAGTCAAGAAAAATTTTGTTAATTCCTTTAGCGGTAGAGTCATTGACAAAAAGAGAAAGAGAAGGATATACAAAACGAGATAATCCTTCTGCTTTGGACAAAAGAACCCTCCCATAAAGGGAAAGGTCTCTTTGGAGCCAAAGATTAAAGATGGATTTGGTTTTCTTGACCCGTCCAGAAAAATTTAGCTGTTGTCGAGCTGTTAAATTTTTTGTTAAATAAATACCAAGATACTTTACAGTCTCCTTAACAGAGATACCATCGATTGAAGAATCGTCACATTTATAGAGCGTCATTATCTCACACTTGGACATATTCAGTTTCAATCCAGAAGCACATGAAAACTGCTCAATTACATTTATAGCCTTTGTTAATTGACTCTTATCTTTTAAAAAGAGAGTTGTGTCATCAGCCAACTGGGAGATTTTAATTTCTCTATCAAAGATGGATATACCTTCCAAGCTTTGTTCATGGATAATACTTAATGATAAAAGTTCTGTAACTAAAATAAACAAAAAGGGGGAAATAGGACAGCCCTGTCTGACACCACGGGTAATGAAAAATCTCTTAGAAGTATTATAACTAATTAAGACAGAGCTGCTAATGTCTTTATAAAACATTTCAATAATATTAACAAAAAAGTCACCAAAACCAAATAATTTGAGAGTCTGCAAAAGAAATTCATGCTCCAGGGTGTCAAAAGCTTTATAAAAGTCTAGGAAAAGAATCATGGCTTTAGAATGTATAAAATCTGTGTAGTCCAAAAGATCTAAAATAAGTCTTATGTTGTTACTGATATGCCTACCTTTTATAAAACCTGATTGTGTTTCTGCAACAAACTGATTAAGTTTGACCTTTAATCTATTAGCAAAAACCAAGGCTAAAATTTTATAATCGATAGTTAGGAGCGTAATTGGACGCCAATTATCTATTAAAAGAGTGTCCTTGCCTGGTTTGGGGACAAGGGAGATAATACCTTGCTTCATTGAAGTTGTCATTTCTTTTGAATCAATACATTCCTTGTACATACAAAGCAATGGTTGTTTGATTAACTCCCAAAAATGAATATAAAACTCAACAGTTAGTCCATCATTGCCTGGCGATTTTCCTTTCTTCATTGAGTGAAGTGCTATTCGAATCTCCTCAATAGTCAAATCAGAATCACAGACGGCTTTAAAGTCAATATCAATAACTGGAACATGAGCTTGAACTTTCTTAATAAAATTGTTGCAATTGTGACTATCAAACACAGATGTATAAATATTTTTGTAGAAGTCTGTGACAAAATTAGATATCAAATTAGGATCTGTGCAATTGACACCATTAATATTAAGAGCAGTCAAAGAATTTCGTTTGCAGTTTCTCTTCTCTAAAGCGAAAAAATAACTAGAATTTACTTCTCCTTCTTCCAGCCATCTAGCCCTGGATCTAACAAAGGCACCTTTGGCAATATCTAGATATGCTTGATTAATTTGTAGATGTAATTGTTTTAATTCTAACTCCTCTTCCTGAGATAGATCACCTATCAATAAAGAATTTACTCTTTCCATTTGTTCAGTTATTGTTTTATTTTTTGATGTTTTTAAATCTTTACTTCTTTTTATAGCTATTTGTCTAGCTCTGTATTTAAAAAAATCCCAATTGGCTCTGTACTCATTATGAATTTTATCAGAAAACATATGGTTAATTAATTTTTTTATATTGT